ATGAACCCGGAGCCCAGCCCTCTGTGCTTCCCCCCGGAGCCTGTGCTCCAGCCCCACCAGCAGCACGCATCTCCCTTTGGCTTCGGCCACCTTTCTGCCTTCAAGAGCCCGGACACCATCCTGGAGGGCAGCGTGCCTCTGAGCTCTTCCCTGCGAGAACATCAGCCCCTGCCTCACCCTGAGCCCTCACAGACTCTGCAGCAGCAGGAAGATTTTGTTCAACAGGATGGAAATATCAATTTCAGAGAGATCCTGGAGGACATGCTGAGGACGTTCAATGGGGCCCCTCAAGAGAACATTCTCCCCCAGGAGCGCCAGAGCGTGATCCAGTTCAGTGGGCTTTTCCCAAACTTCTGAGAGCCTCTGGGTGCACCAGGCGACTCTCAGCCACTGCAAATCCATATCCTTTGGTGCAGAGATGAGGGCTAGGGAGCCCTGGCTTTTCTACTGGTTTGGACTGATCCGTTTCTTTTATTGAGGGAAGAAGAAAAAAAAAAATTATAGTTCCTTAAAGCAAAGTTTATTTATATATAATATACAGTCAGGCATGTATAGATTTGTATATAACGTGCTTGGGGGTAGTTGAGTGCTGCCGAGTTCAGCTGATCTGGACTGATGGTCTCTGCTGTGTTCCAGTCCTGCTCACGGGTCAGCGCTGTGTGAGACCAAGGAGAGACACCCATCCCCTGCAGACTACTGAGTTTCCAAGCCAAGTCGTGCCTCTCTCAGCCCAGAGCACTGCAGCTGCAGCCCCTGAAGCTGCCTCAGCTTTGCAGCAGTTGCAGGAACTGACTGCACCAGCACCTAATTAGCCGGGATCGTGGCAGAGCTGCTGAGTTGGGCACAGCTCAGCCAGGCTGGGACCACGCAGGGATTGCCTGGAGCGCGGGGGCTGTGAGTCCCACTGACCTCTCCTGAGCCTGCAGGGCTGCTGCAGCTGGCCGTGCTTTTCCCACATGTTGCTGTCTTGTGCTTTTTGTCCTGGCCTTCTCCCCAGCCCTGTGCTGCAGGGCTTCTTGGCTGGGACGGGGACGGCCCGGCTGTGTCACCCAGCACTGCTCTCAGCCCCAGGTCCCTGGCGAGCACAGGGATGTGCAGTATTGCTGCTCATGCTGCATATCCAACCTCCAATACCAAAGAGCAAACGTCTGCTTTGCACTGCGATGCCCCACATCCCCACCTGCCCCAGCAGCAAGGTGTGCAGCTGCCCCCCAGCACAGAGGGCGCCGCTGCCAGCCCTGCTCCACACCTCGCACCTCGGCAGGTCCCGGGGACTCAGCTTTTGTTTTCTCTGCTTAACCTGAGGAGTGTGGCAGGGAACTGGCAGCGTTGCCCTGGGGCAGCTGCTCTGCATCCTCCCCTCTGCGTCTGTTCTCTGCATTCAGTCACCTGGGCGTCCCTGGAAGCAGCACCAGGATGCTTTCAGGGGAAGGATGTGAGCCCCTCCCCAGCTGCCACAGCGAGGACCCCTGCCCAGAAGGTCTGTCTTGAGGGGCTGCAGCTCTTCATATGAGCTCCTGAGCCCCTCCAGGCACAGAAGCCCCAGCTTTGGGAAGCGCCATGTGTTGCTGCAACCCCAGAGACTGAGGGCTGCCTGCCCCGGTGTGCTGAGAGCAGGGGCAGCCCATGGGCTCCCTGCCCCCCACCAGCCTCACTGTTTGCCCCCATCCAAGGAACCCTCCTTACCTCACAGCCCACACCAAAGATGGGAGCTCCTGCCCCCAGGCTCCCAGCAGGGCAGGGCTCTCCTCTTCCCCTCCTATTGAAAGTATTTCCCCGCTCACAACACTCACTTTCACTCACTTGGCACTTGCTGAATTCTCAGCAACCAGGGAAAAGGGTACCAAGAAAACCCATTTCAGAGAGGCTCAAACTCAGGAATCACGAGGTATTCCCACCTGGTGCCCTTTGCCCACCCCTGTGCCACGTTAACAGAGTCCCACGTGGCAGCTTTGACACACGGTGTTAAAATATATGCAATTATCCTTCCCCCAGCTCTGGATGACAGAGAGCACCTTCAAGGAAACCCCTCCCTGCCCTGATCCTGTGTTTTTGTCAGGGTTAATAATATGTAACGATATCTTTTAACTAAATTATTATGCCGTTGTCCTACTGATTGTATGTATTTTTAAATGAGTCCCTCTTTTTCTTCCCTTACACCTTTTTGTTAGCACTTTTTAATCTGCTTGTCGTTGGCCTTTGTTTTTTTTTTTCTATGTGTATTTATAATTAATTGAGATGTATATATGTAAAGAGATTTGGGTTTTTTTTTTTAGAACATGTGCCTTGGACTAATAATTCCTGAATTTTCTACGTGCCTCAGAAGGATCATTTTTCAACCTGCTCAGTAAAAAGGAGCCACACGTGAGGTCTCTGTAAGTCCCACCTCTGTCTCTTCAGCCTTCCCCACGCTCACACCAGGCCTGGGGTCAACGTCCCAGCTGCTCCCCACACACCCCATGGCACTGGGCCACCGCTGGGAGGGACGGGGCTGAGGGAGGATCCCGCCTAGACTGCGCCCTCCAACTCAGATGCCAACAGCTTTGTTTTTCTCCCCAGCTTTGCTGCAGAAAACACAGATAAAGGCGCTCTTGTTTACACAGATGGACTCCGCCAAGAGCTGCTGAGCAGGCGCAGCTCAGCCCCACGCGCTGCTCCTTAGCCCAGAGAGCGGCAGCCGGCCCTGCTGTGCTCCCAGCTTCACCCTTACCCCACATCGGGGGCAGGGCTGAGCCCCGCAGCCCCGGCTCAGCTCCACGTGCTGCGTCACCGCGCTGTTTCACCACAGCACAGCTTGCACTGGTTGCACTGATCGCCCCGGGCTGCATCCTGCACCACTGAACATCTCAGGGGGCGCTGGGCATTGCTGCGTGCTGCAGCTCCTCCAGGCAGGGAATCTAATTCAGGCAGACGCTGCGTTGTTGTGCAGCACAGAGCACAGGGTGCAGGGTTGCTTCTCCCAACGCGACGTGCAGACGTGCTCCTCTACTTCAGCTTTTCCTCGGGGCTGCAGCTGACCCGGGATTTGGTGTAATTTCCCGGTCAGCACTAATGAGGATTATCCCTGCCGGCTCTGTGAAAGCTCCCAGCTGCCCCACTGAGCCCCAGTTGCCCCCCCAAGGCGCAGGGGAGCGGCGCATGCAGCTCCATCCCCATCCACACACGCAGATATCACTCATTTCCAGTGAGTTTATTGCAAGTGGACAGCAGACACTACATTATGGCTACGGGAGAGGGCTGCCCAGCAGAGCCCCCACGCCCTGGGACGCCTTCCTCCAGCAGGTGCACGCCAAATCTTCAGGTCTGCCTCACCAGCAGGCTGGCTTCAAGGCAGACCGTCATGGTGCTGGAGGACGGCGCCCACGGGGAGCAGGGAGCGGCGCTGGGCAGCAGCTCGGCAGGCAGCTCTACAGGTAGGCGGGCAGCTCCTTCTCGATCACCTTCGAGATGAAGGGGAGCATCACCTTGAGAGCATCACTGCCCTCAGCACACGCCAGGAGCCCTCAGCTGGGGCTGGGGGTCGAGCAGAGCGCGGGCAGCACTTACGTAAGGATCCTCCATCGGGCTGTACCTCTTCACCACTTGGCCCTCGCGGTTGATAAGAAACTGTGGGAGCGAAGCAGGAGCCAAATGAGAGAGTTCAGCTGCAGCATGGGAACGGCTGAGCAGCACAGGGCTCTGCTCAGGGGCTGGGACTGCCCTATAGCACAGCTGTACCCTGCAGAGCTGCTCCCCCACAGCCCAGCACAGCGCCCGGATGGCAGGGCTTCTCCCCCCCACCTCAAAGCTGAAGATCTGACCCACACACAGCCCCGAAGAAGGCAGCACAGCCCCTACCTTAGTGAAGTTCCACTTGATGGCACTGAGAGAGAGGAAAACCAAGGGTGAGAGGCGCAGAACTGCGCTGCAGCACCACCCCATTGCCCCCTCCCCATCCAGCACTCACTTCCCCAGCGTGCCCCGGCCCTTGGGCTGTTCCTTCATCCACTTCCACAGCAGGTGGGCGCCGTCCCCATTAACCTCAATTTTGCTGAACATATCGAACTTCACCCCGTAGCCCTCCGCAAAGGCCTTGATCTGCGCCTCGTCCCCGGGCTCCTGCGGGAGAAGGGGGGGCGGTGGGGGTCACACCGTGCTCGGGGATCCCCGCACAGCCCCTCCCTGCTCCGCTGTGCCCACCTGCTTCCCGAATTGGTTGCAGGGGAAGGCCAGGATCCGTAAGCCCTTCTCAGCGTATCGAGCGTGCAGATCGACGAGCTGAGTGTAATTCACCGGGGTCTTTCCTCATTTGGACGCCACGTTGGTGACGATGCAGACGAAGCCCCTGCGGGAATGGAAGGGGGAGGGAGGGGGGGGCAAAGCCGGGAGGTGGGGAAAGCGGTGGGGAGGGGGGTGTGCGTGCGGCCACCGCATTGAGCACTGAGCCGCGGCACAGCGCTTCCCGCACCGCCCCGCACCGCTCCGCACCTGTACTGCTCCAAGGCCACGTCGTGCCCGTCGATGTCCCGCGCGTGGAAGTCGTACATGGAGGTGGCCGAGCGCCACTCGTCCGCTTGCGCGCACTGCGGGGTCAGCGGTCACCACGCGGCCACCACGCGGCCCCAGCCGCTCCCGTCCCGCAGTCCGACCCGATCCCATCGCAGCCTCCCCCGGCCCGGCCCGCCTCCCCGCGCTCACCATTCTCCGCTCCGCTCCCCGCACCGCCGCCGCTCCGCACAGCAGCGCCCGTCCCCAGCGCCAACCCCAACTCATCCCACCGCCGCCCTGCCCCTCGACCAATCGGCGGCTCTGACGCGCGGAGGCGCCGCCCACCCGCTGCAGCACCGCTAATCATTGTTCGGAGCGAGCGGCTCCCTCGGCTGACAGACGGGAGGATCGACCAATCAGATTGGCGAAGCGGCCGCAGAGGCGTGAGAATCCTCGTGGGGGCGAGGACGGCGTCCTTGCGCCATTCCTCCCCCCGCCCTCCGCCTACAGCTCCCGGCATTCCCCGCGGCGAAGGACCCCGTGCGGGGCGGCCCCGCCGGCTCCTCGGGACCGGCATTGCGGCGGGCAGCCCGGGGTCCTGCGGGGCAGCATGGACGACGAGGAGGAGACGTACCGGCTGTGGAAGATCCGCAAGACCATCATGCAGGTGCGGGGCGGTGCGGGGCGGTCTCCGGTCTCAGCTCTCCTCTCCTCATGCGGCGCTTCTTCTCCCAGCTGTGCCACGACCGCGGTTATCTGGTGACGCAGGACGAGCTGGATCAGACGCTGGAGGAATTCAAGGCGCAGTTCGGGGACAAACCCAGCGAGGGCCGCCCGCGCCGCACCGACCTGACCGTGCTGGTGGCTCACAACGACGATCCGACCGACCAGATGTTCGTTTTCTTTCCCGGTGAGCTGTGGGACCGGGTTGGGAACGGAATCGCCGCGCTGTCGCCGGGTTCGGTCTCACCCGGCGCTGTTTCTCATCCAGAGGAGCCCAAAGTCGGCATCAAAACCATCAAGATGTACTGCCAGCGCATGCAGGAGGAGAACATCACGCGTGCGCTGATCGTGGTGCAGCAGGGAATGACTCCCTCGGCCAAGCAGGTGCGGTGCGATGCGGCCCCGGGGCTGTTTGAACCCCTGGCTCCATAAACACGGAGCTTTTGTGCAGAGAAAACCTCTTGTCAAAGGTTCTGAGCCTTAACGCTGGGCTCGCTCAGCATTCAGTGCATTGAACCGGAGCAACCTTTAAGAGACCAGATGAGGTTTAACAAAAGCAAGTGTAGAGCCTTGCATCTGGGGAGGAATAATTGCACGCACCGGTACGGGTTGGGGGATGAGCTGCTGGAGAGGAGCTGTGCAGAGAGGGACCTGGGTGTCCTGGTGGACGGCAGGTTGCCATGAGCCAGCAGTGGCCAAAAAGGCCGATGGCATCCTGGGGTGCATTGCAAAGAGTGTGGCCAGCAGGTCGAGGGAGGTGATCCTCCCCCTCTGCTCTGCCCTGGTAAGACCTCATCTGGAGCACTGCGTCCAGTTCTGGGCTCCCCGGTACAAAACAGACAGGGATCTCTTGGAAAGAGTCCAGCGGAGGGCCACGAAGATGGTGAGGGGCCTGGAGCATCTCTGCTATGGGGAAAGGCTGAGTGAACTGGGTCTGTTCAGCCTTGAGAAAAGAAGACTGAGAGGGGACCTGATCCAGGGCTGTAAATATCTGAGGTGTGGGGGGCAGAGTGGCGAGGCCAGGCTGTTTTGAGCAGGGTGTGCAGACAGGATGAGGGGAAACGACCAGAAACTGCAGCATAGGAAGTTCTACACAAATATGTGCAAGAGCTTCTTTACAGTGAGGGTGACGGAGCTCTGGAGCAGTCAGGGGGCACAGAGATCTGTTTGCTGTCTGCCTGTGTGACTGTCAGGGTGAGCACAGACACCGTGCTGCCCTCCTGGTGCTGCTGCTCATGGCGGGGCAGTGCTGAGCGCTCACACTGAGGCTGTCCCAGAGCAGTGCTGCAGCGTCTTGTGATTCTTCCTTCCCAGTCCCTGGTCGATATGGCTCCCAAATACATTCTGGAGCAGTTTCTGCAGCAGGAGCTCCTGATCAACATCACTGAACATGAGGTGAGCAGCGCAGGGCGTCCCTTTCATCCCTGCCCTGTGCTGGGTGGCGCTGCAGGAGCTTCATTTCTTACCACAAATTGCTCATCTTGCAGCTGTGGAGAGGGTGGTTGCTTTCTCAGTCTGTCTTATCTTGTGATTTCTCTCCTGCTGCTTACAGCTGGTCCCAGAGCACGTTGTCATGACAAAAGAAGAAGTAACCGAGCTGCTGGCCAGATAGTATCCTTTGTTTGGTCCTTCCCTTCCTGTCAGGGGGTGATGAGTGCTTGCCTTGGGCCAAAAGTGAACACCTCTGACTGTGGGAGTGTACGATGTTCTGCTGGCTGCGCCCTGCCTTAGGACAAACAGAACCCTGGGTTCTGGCAGAGCTTCTCCTTGACTCCACTCAGTAAGCTGAGGGAGAACCAACTCCCCAGGATCCAGGCTGGGGATCCCGTGGCCCGATACTTCGGGATAAAGAGAGGCCAGGTAAGAGAAAACCCGATAACAAACAGCAGGGCCCTGCAGGCAGGGCGAGGAGCTGTAGCAGCACAGTATTCCAGAGCTTGGAGATGGGAAAGGTTTCCTCTTTTTTAGGGCTTTTTTTTTCCTAGATGTTATGGGTTAGGTAGAGATGTGTGCAATCCAGCAGATAGCCCTGGGGCCAGGCTTGGCTGCCTGCTGAACCAGCTGGCAACAGCTGCTGCAACACCAGCCATCCCCCCGTGTTCCTTCTGCTGGCCTTCCAGGTGGTGAAGATCATCAGACCGAGTGAGACTGCGGGCCGGTACATCACCTACAGGCTGGTGCAGTGACAGAGCTCTCAGGTAATGTGTGACATCCCCACCTCTGGGCAGTGCTTTAAACTTGCTCTGAGGCTTTCCAGAGGTGACTTGAAGTGAGTTGGCTCTGGGAAAGGATTCCCTCCAAGTGATGTAAATGATTTGTGTAAGGAACCGTGTGGGATGGATCAGAGCGGGGCTGTCCTGGTCTGGTGCCTCAGTAGCATTGCTGAAGGCACATCTCTCAGGGCAGCAGAGGGGTTTTGCCTTGAGAGCGATCTGCTGAGGGGGACGGGAGCTCATTCGCATCCTGAGTTCTTTCTTCCAGGTGTGAAACAGTTCTGTGACATCTGATCTTCCCACCCACCGACAGCTCACGGCTCCCTGAGCTCTGTTTGATGGCTGAGGAACTCCTCTGTCCCTGCTGCCTCTCTGCAGTTGTTTTCCTTGGCCCAGTTCCTCATTTTCCAGCGTGGATTTTGCTGCAAATCCTTCTGCTTCGTTAAGGAATGCCATGAAAGCACCTTGAAGCACCTGAATTGTACAAATGAGTGGAAAGAGGCTTTTGCTCTTATGCAAGCCCTGTTCTATGAGATCTTATTTTTAATAAAGGTTTGTACTCTTGCTGTTCTTCACTGTTTCTGCGTTTCTCAGCCCTCTCCTGTATCAGAGCTGAACGGCCACAGGCAGTTCCGTGTGTTCCATTCTCTGTGGGATTTGTTGCTGCTCAAATTCTATGGTTCAGCCTCACTGCTGTTCTGTCTCTGACCTTTGTTTTGAGACTGTGGTTGTCAGATGTTGCAGAGGGATTTTGCTTTACTTGCTCTAAGTGCTTCCTTACAACGCTTGGCACCCACAGCCACGGGCAGCTGGATGTGCAGGCATTGATGTGCAGGACAGGCAGTGGTTGGAACACAGGGATTTTATTCTTTCTGGAAGCACATCAGTCTGAACTCAGCAAAACACAGAACGCAGCTTCATACAGCAGCACAGACACGTCACAAAAGAACATTTTTCCTTTTTCCATGCTGAGTTTATATACAGATAGAAGGGCTCTCGGTACCATGTGAAGCTCCAGCATTGCTTTGGTCCCTTCCTTCACTCGCATTCACCATCACCCATCCTCGCACACACTCGTACCCCTGCAGTAGCAGTTCTGGTAGCAGCAGGTGGCACTCAGCTTCATTTTCCTGCTGCCATGAGGATGATGTGCTGCAAGGATGGCGAAGAGCTGTGGAGCAGAGGTGCTCACAGGTGGCTGTAGCTCCCCTTCGGCCCCGTTACAAACCGGTCGGCCGTAAATGGAGCTTTGGTTTCGTGTACCTTTTATCTGTTGTGTTGAGATGCTTTTCTGATCTGAGAGCCGTGGCCCTTAGCAGCCCCGCTCTGCCTGGTGGAGATGATCCTCCAAAAGGATCCCACCTCCTCTCCATCACCTCATCCTCCGTTAATGAGCTCTGTTAACCCTTCCAGTTCAGTGCATCTCCAGCTGGGACGCCACTCTGCTCGGCTTCCTTGGCTGAGAAGCGGTCCCAGCTCTCCCTTTGCTGCCTGGTCTGCATGGATGCCCTCCCTGCCTGCAGCAGAGGACTGAGACAGGAGGAGGTGGCACAAGAGACGAGGGAGAACCCAGCGTTTCACTGAGGAATGGTCTGAGTATTAAAGAACAACTTTGGACCCAGCTGGGCTCCTGGTCCTCTCAAGGCAGCGGGGAGCAGCCTGGGTGTGAGCAGAGTGGTGGAAGGAAAGCAGCTTTCGGCTCTAAGCTCTTTTTTTTTTCTATGCTTCAGTGCAGAAAAGTTTCATAACCTTAAAAACCACTTTGGTCCTCTTTAACCCTTCGAGTTCCGTTGCCAGCAGAGGTAGTGGGTTTGCATTGAAGGGTTACCTTACACACACACACACAATCAAAGACTAAAAGCTCACAGTGGAGGGGGGTTCAGCTTGGCTCAGGCACCCTGCATCTCCCCCCGCTGCCCTCACAGCATCGATTTTGGAGATCAAATATACATCCACAAAGCCCTGAGACCGTGCCACGTGGGGAGGGCGGAAGAGGAAAATGCCCATATCGTTGTATACAAGCAGCAACGCGAGCTTCGTCAGCCGAGCCACCGCCGCCTGGGGCCGCTCTCACTGCTGAGCTGCGGCGGTGGCGTCGCTCTCGGGCTCCTCTTCGGGGTCGCTGTGCTCTCCTGCAGCGCAGCGCAGCGCTGAGCCCTCCGTGTCCGACTGCCCGGTGCTGCACGTGCGGCTGCGCTGCCCCTCGCTGCCCTCCTCGTAGAACGGAGCTTCGTCCGTGCTCGTTTCGCTCCCTTGTTTTCGCAGCTGCCCGCCGTCCTCCGGCTCCGAGTCGGAATCCACCGATCTCTCGCTGGGCTCTGTGGATCCGTACGGAGCTGTGAGGCGGTCGCTGCTCTGCGCTGCCTCGGCCCCGAGCTCCTCACCGCGGCGAGCAGCGATGGAGGTGTGGGGACGGGTGCCCCCAGGGGCTGAGGCAGCGCGAGAACCCAGAGCCCCTCTTTGCAGCCCCAGACCCGTGTCCCCACAGCCCCCAGAGCCCCTCACTCACCCCCGAACGCTCCCACGTTGTACCCCAGGTCGCCCTTCCCCGGCGGCTGCGGGCACGGAGCGGCCGTGGGCTCATCCTGCTGGGAGGGGTCCGTGTGAGGGGGGAGCACACAGGGCCAACCTCACGCCCCCCCCCCGCTGCTCCCTCCCCAGGGCCCCATACCGGGGTCTCGTCCTCGCGATCTGCGGTGAATTCAGTGCCGCCAGCGGTCAGAGTGCTGCCTTTGTCCTCGAAGATGGTGGGGTAGAAGATGATGAGCGCCTCGACGACGCGCGCCTGGTGGGGGTAATCCACCAGCGAGGACAGAGAGATGGTGGCATCCGTGGGCCGTGGCCGCAGCAGCGTCGGCCCGAAGACGATGCCCAGATTGCTGGAGGTCATTTTGTTGTCCTGCTCCACCTCCACGATCCTGGATGAGGAAATCCATGAGAGCAGGCAGCGGCTGCTCCCCTTTCCCATCCCACCACGGGGACAGAAGGGACGGCCCCCCCAGCCCGGATCCCCCTCCTCACCTCCTCAGGTGCTGCAGGAGGTACTGCAGCGTGGCCGTGTTTTCCCACGGGAGCTCCTTCAGCAGCTCCTTCAGTTTCAACACCAGGTTCACCACCACGCGTTCGGTGTCGGCCCCTTTGTCCACCAGCTCCGGACCCCCTTTCCCACTCCTCCCTTTGGCCTCGCTGCCGCCCTGCAGGCTCTCCTTGGCTGCTCCCATCAGCGCGTTGTACATCCGGAACGGCACGATGGGCTCGGGCAGCTGCAAGAACAGTGCGAGAGAAACCCTGTGAGCTCCCCAGATGGAGAACGCTCCTTTTCCCTTCAGAAAAAAGACACAAAAACCCAGCCTGGGGCGTGTGCGCGGCTTCTCTATAGATAAGAGGTTGTTAAATGGGACGGTGCTAATTGTTCCCTAGGAGGAGGTGAGAAGGAATCAGCGCAGCCTGCAGCTGTCAGGAGGAGCGTTTGGCTTTGAAGTTTGCATAAAGCAACCTGAGTGCGTTCGTGCACCGCCCGGCAGTTGTGCAGCGCTGCTGATGTTTGCGGTGCCTTCCCCGGGTGTTTGCTGGGGATGGATCGCTTTGCAGCAGAGCAGCGCTCCTGCAGAGGGACTTGAAACCGATTTCTCAGCCGTGCACTGAGCCTGGATCTCAGCACAGGGCAGACCTCTTCTTTTTGCTCTCTGCTCTCCCTATCCAGGAGCTCGCAGCCCCTCTCTGCAGTGCGGGGACGTGGGGAGAAGCCTCCTCTGCCCCCAGGAAACCAGCAGAAAGGGTTAAGCCGTGAGAGAGAGAAGCTGCTTCCTCTCCTCCTGCCCCGTTTGAGGATGTGGGTCGGGGTTTGAGTTTCGGTGCAGGACTGAGCTGATGGCAGAGATGTTTGCTGCAGGCAGAGGGCCGGGAGAAGTGAGCTGAGCCCAGCCCCGCTGCGGGGCGACCTTTACGGCCACTTCCCTTTCTCCTGCTGCTTCCCCAGCTGCAAAGGGGAGGGACGGTGCAGCGCTTCGCGTTGTGTTGCTGTGGGCAGGGACTTCGCTGCTGCAGCTGATGTTGTGTGAGGGCTCACTGGGGGCAGACGCATGGAGCCGCCCTGAGATGTGCAGTGAGATTGCTGATCCTCCTGCACACACCTCCATCGGGCCAGCTGGGCAGGAGGGGCTCTGATCCACCCAGCAGGCAGCTGTCAGCACAGCTGGCAGCAGGATCGCCCCCTCCAGGCACGGATTGCTGGAATCACCAGGAATCACCTCTGCCCCCACCTGTCTCAGGTAGAGCTTCAGCACGTTGCTGATGTCGTGTGGGGACGCCTGGGAAAGCTCCACCAGCTCCTTCCCGTTCTCAAAGGCCTGGCAGAGCTTCTCCACGCGGGTCTTCACGCCGTTCACTCGGTAGATGCCCTGCCAAGGGGGAGAAAACCAAAGCTGAACATTTCTCTTTGGGTTCGCACGAGCTCTCGGCTCCCAGCCACTCCTTTGGGGGTGGAAATCCCCCTCAGGAGGTTTGGAAGAGCTGTTGCAGCTCAGATGTCGCTGCTGTTCCCCTTTTGTAGGGAAGAGAGGGAGTGCAGGACACGTTTCCGTGTCAGTTTGTTTGTTGTGGGACCTCCTGCCTCAGAACCTGAGGGCTGCGCTGGTTCTCATAGCAGGACAGAGCCCATCTGGAGGGCAAGCAGCTGGAGCAGAGGGGAGGGCAGGGGGCTCACCTTGGTTTTCAGCGCCCTCTTCTCAATCTCAGAGATGCACTTCTTAACGATGAAGGGGATGCCGTCAGCGCTGCCCTGAGAAGCCTTCAGGAAGTCCTGCCCAAAAAGCTGCAGCTTCCCCTGGAGCTTCTTGTGCCCACATTGGATGGCCAAGGTCTCCAAGCACTTCTTGTGGCACGCCAGGTAGCACTGGGAGACAGGGAAGGGCTCAGAAGCGGGATCCCCCCCCCCCACCTCCCCAATCCTCCCACATCCCCAGCATTACCTCCTCACATTCTGCCCCCTGGAAGTACACGTAGCTGTTGCATTCCCTGCACTTGGAGGGGGTCCGCAGCTTCCTCAGCCGGTGGGTCTGGGCTGCCCTGGACAAACCCACGTTCCGGAAGGGTCCCGTGGGTGCTGCCATCTCTGGGGTGATCCCATTGATGCCTACAGGCAGAGAACAAAGGGACACATCAGCATTCTGTCTCCTTAGGGGTCAGGCAGAGCGAGGCTCGAGCAGAAGGATCACTGTCATATGGGGACATGGCATGTCGGCACGTGGGGCACACGGACACACAGGACATGGAGACACACGGGACACGTGAGCCATGTGGGGTCATGCTGACACATGGGACACGTGAACATATGGGAAAAACAGACACACAGGACATGCTGACACATGGGACACACGGACAAACATGTGGACACACGGGACATGCTGACAGACGGGGCTTTGGGCCACATCCCAGCTAACCAAGGGCTGTGCTCCTGATGGAGCTGTTGCCACTGCTTTGCACAGGGCCTGTCCCTGCCTAGTGGGAATGGTGTTGTGTTCCCCATGGACTCGCTGGTATTTCAGCTCTCCTCCCAGCAGAAG